TTTAGTGACTAAGTTTTAGCAATAAAAATGAATTTCTCTTCACTTAAAGAAGAAAGTTAATATATATTTTGTGGAGTATTTCAACATGTAAGTCTGTTTTTTTACATTTAGAATTTAAACAATAAGTTATCTTCTACTTCTTTTCATAAGTGTAACAAGGAATGTGCATCCCCATTTGGTAGGACCTGAAGTGTATGCAATTTGGGAGATTCTTGCTAAGGAAAAGAAAACAAAATTAGAGTTAAAAAAATTAAACTTAAAAGTGAAAACTGCATACATTTAGACTAAAAGAAGTCATAAAAAATTATAAATTTAAAAAACCTGAACAATACTACAAAGTGTTTAACAAAATCCAGAAAAATAGCAAAAATAAATGTTTCTCCTCCTCCTCTACACACCCACTTGCTGGTGATCCATAGTACAAGTTCATATCATGATGCCACCTCTGGGGTGTCTCATCATTCCATGGTGGGCTGGGAGGTGAGTGTATTCCTGGAAGCACTCCTGCATCGGGATGGCTAGCAATGACATAACTATACACAGAAGTGACAGCGAATTAGGTAAATTTGTTTCATTTAACTTAAACTTAAATGTATTGTCAACTCATCAATGCCTTAGCTAAATCTAAAAAATATTCATGGCCACTTGAGTATCATCCAACACAAGCAAAAGTGTGCAGGAGGAGAAAGGGGAGTGGAAAGAAATAGTGATCATAACCGATTGCTGTTAAAATATCTCATTTTGCAACTTTTGCAAAAACATATGAGCCTGTGAACATATTGCTAAGGCCCTTTCAGGAGCCTGTGCATATGACAGATCCTGAAGCTGAAGTGTTAGCTTCACAGTTACCTTTAAGGGAAACTCATTCACAGAAAAATGAATAATTGAATGTTTCAGATGCTTAAAGGAACCATAAAAATGCATATTTCTTACATTTCCTTCCTTCATTCTTCTAAATTATTATCAAAGTTATTCTTTTATCTCTATTTTTAATGTGTTAATAGTAAACTACATAAGGAAAATTGTCCTGTGGAAACTATATAAATATTTTACACTTTTCACCTTTTGAATATATTGTATATATTTTGTTTGTAGGAAAAAAATACTTAAGTATATATTTATTTTACTATGATAAAAAAGAAAGAAAATCAAAATCCCTTAAGTAAATGCTCTCTTGTGTTACTGTGCAAATGCCTGTAAAAATCATCAGGGCTGCTGGAAAAAAATGGTAACGTGTGGATTGTATTTATCTTTAGTACTCCTTGTTCCAGTTTTCCATTCTTTTAATGTCTAGGTGATCAAAGTTTGAAGAATTTTAATACAAAGTATCTCAAGTGACTTAGCTCTATTATGCCTAAACACAGAAATGGATTCGTGCAGCAAATCGTTCAGTCTCACAAGTACAATAACACCTAGGGGAGCATACTACATAGATCATGTGGAGACTGAGGGTAGAATGATATATTATACCAAATTTATCTTATATTATCCAGCAGCTCCCTCTGACACAATTTTATATGATAAATTATTTATCAGAACTGAGTTTATTTCAGATGCATGAAATAGATGAATAAAAGAATATAGTAAGTTTGTATATAAGACTGGTCAATTTAATTTGTTTAAAACTTCTGCAACAAAAGTTTTTTTCTGTATTCTTGACTTTCATAGTATTCAGAGTATACCATAAAACTGAATAACTCTGAGTTTTTGTCCGTAATTTACTGTATTGACTTTTGTCTCTTTCTGACCACAGACATCAGTGGTTCTTCCATTATTTCTATTACCAATGGCCTGGCTATCATAATCATATGATTTTATGGAAAAGAGTTGTTTTCATAATATATTAGGGTGCATGTAAAATGAATAATCTTTGATGTAATCAATATAATTTCTAATGTAGCTTTTGGGAATTTTGTTCTTTTAAAGTTGGACTCATTTTTAGCAATAATAATGATGATACTACAATTTATTGAGGACCTACTTTGTTCCACATACATTGTCTGGTGCTAGATATTTTATGCCCATTTTACGGATGGTCTTTTTGAGAAATCAAGTAACTTAAACATGCAGCTAGTAGTAGGTGTAGAACCAGGATAGTAGCTCTTGTCTGGTCCATTCTGAAGCATGAGATCTTTCCATTCTTCTGAGTTGTCTCTCCTTCAGTATGGGCCTTTATTCTTCTGGAGTCAGTGGAAAATTCCATTTTCCTCTACACATAAAACTGCAGAAAGAAGGTAAAATGAAACAGATGCTTGATTCTTTCTCCGTGAGATAGACATAAAAAAAAAGTGGAAAAAAAAAAAAAACTTTTCCACACCATAGTTTTCAGTCTATATAGAATAGAGGTCAGACTGACATCAGAATTCATAATTTAACGTATACATGAGCTCCCTGCACAGAACAAACTCTTCAAAGGTTTCACTTCTAATTTAAGAAATATGAACATGGAGCACATATATGTAACTCTACTTTACCATGAAAGAAGAACATCATCCTATATATTTGTAAAATCTTACTCACTTGTCCAGGATACTAGTGGGCAGCAGAAATGACAGAGAGTGACTGATAACTGATGTCAGAAAGAATCTAGGGCAAATTGTTTAAAGTTCAAATGTATGGTATGGCATAGTTCAAAATAAAAAGATATAATAAAAGTGTAATATTTAATTATGAATTTTGTAAACTTTTTGTTAAATGAATGTGACAGCTTTAAATCCATATACATCATGTTCAGGTTTTGTAATGAAGTAGCCTTTCAAATATCTTCTCTTAACTTATATGTGTTTTCAAATGTGACCTACTTAAGTGGACAGAGTCTATATTCTTTCTGAAGGAAGGCTTCCTGTAGCGAGACATAATTTCTCTAACAAGAAAAATGTATTCAGAATGTAATTTTAAAACTCCCAGGAATAAGGCCTCTGAGTAGCTACCTTATTTTCAGTGCCCCAGAATCTACACACTAAAGATTTTACCTTTTTATAAGAGAGAATCCCTTTGGGTTCTCACTTTCAAGTTATTTATGATCATATTATATTTTTATACCCTTGTATTCCTTGCTTCTTAGTCCATAGCAGTTGTGAAAACAAGGGAGAGGCAACCATCATTCATTCATAATTCCTTTGACAAACACCTAATTAATACTAGTAAAACTGAAACTGTTTTATGTACTGGAGATGTTACAGCAATAAGGGCTAACAGCAAAAGCTTGTAATGGAATAGAAAAAGTATGATAAATATATATAGCAATACAAAACTTAAAGTAGTTTAGGTCCATTTTGTTTCATCTTTCCTCTTCTGAGAGTATATAGCCAGCCAGGTTTAGTCCAAGAAGGGTAAGGGGAGTGACTCTTCCTTAGGAATCTAGTTTCTTGGAAATGGAACAAATGTGAAAAAATTGAAAATCAAGTTGAGCTGGTTGAAGAAGCCAGAGAATCAGGATTAACCTGCCCTTAAAACCAGACACATCTGAGGTATTGATCTCATACGGGAGCATAGGGCAAGGAAGGGAAGGACCAAGGAGATAAGAATAAGGAATGCGCAGTGTAAGCTGTCAAGCCAGAGGGTTAGCAGGGCAAAAATTAAGGAAAGAGCTGGATTTTAAACACTCCGTTTTCATTGGCCTGATTTTAATATTAGATTAATTTAGGAGTGGGATTCTCTTTGTGGGGAGGGGGAGCTAGAAGAGTTATACTCTTCTTGGCTGTGGCAAACCCAAGCCTTTCTGAAGTGGGGTGTTTACATTGCTTTGTGTGTGTGTGTGTGTGCGTGGGGGGTGGGGGGGTTGGTAACTGTCCAATTATGGCAGAAGACCAAACTCCTCTCTCTGTCCAAACCATCTCATGGCATTGCCTATGCCTAGAAGATGATTCCACAGAGAGGAACAGGTAGGCAGATAGGTACACAGGGCAGGGACCAGTGGTTATATCTCTACAGCCTCTGAAAACTTCACTGGATTATAGAAGAGTAATAATTAATGCTAATAATGAGGACCCTGTGGTGTTTAGAGGGATTAAATTATTTTATATGTCATCTATGTAAGAAAGCAATGACTGTCAGATTTCCCCTCATGAGGTTAATATTTTAATACTTTGGCATTTGGAGGGTAAATAGTTACTTTTAATCTACTTACTGATAAAAACTCATTCCCTGATATTGCCAGATAAATAGGTTGTTGCTTTATGCAGCTTTATTGATACTCATGTTGCTGTGAGAAAGTGATTCAGGGCTAGCACTTTAATTTGCATTTGTGATCAGAGTTATTATTTTGCACAAAGATTAAAATTTGGTTGGGAACTGGAGTGAAGGATTTACTTCATTAGGTCTTAATTTACATTTCTCACTTCATTCGAAATAAAATATCTTGTAAGTTAGAAAAGTACCTCAAAGCTGGGAAGAAAAAACTATATTTTACCCAAATTCTCAGGAACTGTTTAAAATCCAGAGGTTTCTGTACTGGGTAATGCTGTTCCCCATTAACTTCATGTCAAAACTGGATAATATATTTTCCTTAAGGCATTGTTTATATGACAGGTCTTTAACCATTTCTTGCTAACAGCATGTACTTTATCAGACGTGACAAGATTACTGCCTGAAAGTTTGCATTTTTATTCATGTAAGAGTATGGACTTGAACTTCAAAGGAAGAATAAAGCCAAACTATTATAGTTTGAGTACTTTAATAAATATTAAATAATAAATGAAGATGGTTCTACACTAGCTTCAGGGCTTGTGGGCAATAATAGGAAATCTTCAGCTCTATTCTATACCTCACTCTATCAAGCATTAAGCCAATGAAAAATAAAGAAAATTAGACTGTTGTACTATGTGATGTTCACCTAATTCAAAATTCAAAAATCACTGCTTTAAAAATAAATCAAAGGGTAAGTAAATATATAAAGGGTTTTTTTTTTTTTTGTCATTTTGGTATGCTGTTTATTGCATTATATTCATTTTCGCTTTATCTTGATTTATTTTTCTGTTTTTTTTTTTTTTTTATAACAGATCATCAGAAACTGGAAAGGGAAGCTAGAATCTGCCGTCTTTTGAAGCACCCCAATATTGGTGAGGGAATGTTTTCAAAGTATCTTAAATGTTAATTTAAAATTTTACATTATGTTTGTTGTACCACAATAAAAAATGTTAATTTAATAGTCTAGAGTATTTACATCTATTAACAAGTGCGTCCCTAACTTTTGGTCTTAGTTACATTTGATTCTTTAAAGGTTTTTTTATGTTTGTTGTTTCCTTTTGATGCAATCTTTAAAGCAGGAATGGAAAATAAAAACTGTCTCTATAAATTAAATTCATCTTGCTTTATGGAATTAATAAAGATAACTACATTAATTGAATCAATAGTGTATGTTTCCTGTTGTGCTGAGAGTTGACTGCACACCAACCAGTGGGGAAAGTGAGTGTAATTTAAAGAATAAATAAATTAAATTGAGGTAATTCCTGGTTATATTCCTGGTTAGCTTTATTTTAACTACGTATTTTGGAGTCTGCTATATTAACTAATTTGATGTCCCTTTATAGACTTGTGTAAAATGAAAATGATAGTCCTTTACCTAATTTGGGAGGACAGTTGTGAAGGTAAAAATGAAACAAGTATTAAAAATTTTTGAAAAGATATATTTTCCCAAAAGGTAGCAATTTTATATAAACAAACCCTTTAAAAAATTAATAAGAAGTATGAGTTGACAAGTACCTTCATGTGTCTTTAATAATTGTTCAACTATTGCTGCTGATGGAGAGACAAAACTTATGCCATCACTTTGGTTATCCAATGTTTTTCCATCTGTCCTGTGAAGAATTTACCTTATATTTTTAGATTCCATTCCAGAAACTAAAAATGATTTTAGACTATATATATCCTTCATGAATTATAAAATAGTATGACAGTTTTCAAAATAAAAAATTGATGAATATTTGAGAAATAGGAGAAAGAAACACAGGAAAGAAAAAGAAGAAACAAAAAAATATGTGTAAGTTAGATTCTGTGATAATAGCTTTGATTGTTTCAGGGAAAAAAAAGTTACCGTTCCAGCTCCCTTAGTTTTATTGTCAACCAAAAATATTTCTGATCTAGAAGTAGTAAGAAAAGGGATGATAATGCCACCTAATTTGCAAAATTATTCACTTAGGAGGTTTATACTTCTTTTATTTTTATATATTGGACCTTTACATTTCTATTCTGACCTAAAAGTTTTTAGTATCCTGCATTTAGTGAGTACATCTTAGGTTCTTAAGTGAATTCATAGATATTATGGAGTAAATCTGCAGCACTAACATTCTGACAGCTATCTAAAAGTAACCTTTTGGTTTTGAGAGCAAACAAACAACTCTGAAATGTAAATCTACCTCTTTACAAGTATTTTACCTGATAAAAGTCTGTGGCAGTTTTTGGTTGGCTGTGTTAGTTTGCTAGGGTTGCCATAAGAAAATACCACAGACTGTGTGGCTTAAACAACAGAAATTTATTTTCTCACAGTTCTGGAAGCTAGAAGTCCACAATTAAGGTGTTGGCTGGGTTGGTTTCTTCTGAGGCCTCTCTGCTTGGCTTGTAGGTGGCCATCTTCTCCCTGTGTCTTAATATGGTCTTCCCTCTGTACAATGTCTGTGTCCTAATTTCTTCTTCTTGTAAAGATACCAGTCATATTGGATTAGGGCCCACACTAATAACCTCTTTTAACTTAATTACCCTTTAAATGCCCTGTCTCCAAATACAGTTACATTCTGAGGTACCGGGGGTAGGATTTCAACATATGAATTTGGGGGTGGGGGGATTCTATTCAGCTTATAACATTGGCCAAAGAGAAACTACATGGTATGTCACACTATAGTTCAAAGAGCACTTCTCTTGCTCAGGTTTAAGGTAAAGTGAAATCTTTGTTTGATGAACTTGCAATTCCTGTGCAGAAGGGTTATTTGTTTGTCTGTTTGTTTTGTTCTGTTTTTGTTTTTTTCAAGGTCCTTCTATGAAATTCAATTTTGGTGGATAATGAAACTAGTTTCCTCCATTTCATTTAAGAGACTGAAATCAAACATTCTAAAGCTTCTAAACTAAGACAAGAATTGTTTTCATGTTGGCATTACGTGCAGAATACCTTTATAATAAAACGGAAAGTTGTACGCTGGGGAGAGTTCTAAAGTTTTGTGACCTAGACAGCACCATCAACATACTCTGACAGTATATACTTCTTTTCAAGGATGTGTAGCAATCAACTGTCATAACTCCTTTGTTACCTCACTTGAGATTTTCTTCCATCTCTCAGGATTTCAAGAGTACAAAAGGAACTATGGAAATTCCAGGTCCTTAATAAACCCCAGAACTTATTTCTAATCATGAGAGATATTTCTAGTGATCTGTACCTCAGGATATAAATCATAAAAAGATTATAAGACACAATGTCAAAATTCATGACACTGGCAAATTCATCTATATCATTCATTCACTTAACAAGTTACCATTCAGGTAGTATAGTAGGAACAAAACAGACCAATATCCTTGCCCTTATGGAGCTTACATTGTTGGGGAAGACAGAAAGTAAAGATAGTATAGGATGCTAGATGGTGATAATTGTTGAGGGGAAAAAAAAGAAAACAAAGAAAGGAAATAGGGAATGTTGGGGTTACCAGTTTTAAATAATTGGTCAGGACCACTTCATTGAGAAGGTGAAATTTGAGTAAAAATCTAATAGCAAGTCATTTGGCAATCTGTGTGGGGGCTGGGGTCGGGGAAGAGGACATTGCAAGCAAAGGGAAGAGACAACCTGTGTAAAGGCCCAGAGACAGAACCTTGCCCTGTGGATTCTGCCAAAATTTGTTTTCTCTAATTGGAGAAATGAAGATGAATCATTTTTCATTTTATCTTAGTTATCTTAACTCATGGGTCTCCATGCCATGTAGTCTGACAATGTTGTATTTACTCATGTAAAGAACAGTGATTAAAAAACAACAACAGTGCATGTGGAAATATCTGCTCCTCAGCCCTTCAGGAGCAGGAATATATCCCTAACACGCTACATTAAAGAAGAAGTTCACAGGGCTGCCAACCTTACAGTAGAGGTTGAGTGGTAGTGTATTTCTCCTACGTAAAAGAAGGAACACCAGGGGCCGGCCCGGTGGCGCACTGGAGAGTGCGCCGCTTGGGAGTGTGGCGGCGCTCCCGCTGAGGGTTCGGATCCCATGTGGAGACCGGTTCCCGCTCACTGGCTGAGCGCGGTGCAACACCAAGGGTTGCGATCCTGTTGCCAGTCCCCGGTACGGGCGCGACACCGAGGGTTGCGATCCCGTTACTGGTCAGTAAAAAAGACAAAAAAAAAAAAAAAAGAAGGAACACCAGTACAATGGTAATTGTCATAAAATAGTAAGCAACAGCCAACAAAGAAGATATGTTTTAAAGATAGATGCTATAAGCAGCCATCTGAGAGTATACTGGAGAGTAGGGACTAACAAGGTGGTGATCAGAGTGCTGCTGTTGCTGTTAAGATCATTACACCCAGTTAACAGTAGGATCACTTACTACTAGATCAGATTACACAGGGATAACAGCATTTGGTCTTGATTTCCTTGAAATAGATAATGTGATATCTAAATAATATAAGATCCTTATCTTCTTCTCCCTTTCCTCTATTTTAGTATTTGCTCAGTTTTAAGATCTATTCAGTTTTAGTACTTCAAGGAAGGAAATACTATTTTTGACAAATTTTTTGCCTGTAGAAATTTGTTTGCTTCATTTTTATATTTTTGAGTGTCTATCTCTTGGCACAGAATCAATAATCTTGAGAATTTACAGCACATAAAAGGTTTCTCCCAAAGAAACACACTTGAAACCAAATGAAAGTGATGATCTATTAAACCACTTTTTTCCTTTAAGTGTTTTTTTTGTTTGTTTTTCTGATTTTAAAAGTAATACACACACATAGTGGAAAATTTCAAAAATACAATGACATATGAAGAAGAAACCAGAGGGGCAAGTTTTAATATTTGCTTTATTCATTTTTGCCTTTTTATAATAAATCTTACATATATGCTAACTTTTAGCATTCTCTTAGCACATTTTCATACCCTATAGATATACAGTGAAAATTGTCTCACTCAACAGAATTTCCTGAATGTCTAGCCATTGCCAAGCTGCATGCTATTGTATGCACTGGTGTCCCTGCTTTTCTAAAGCCTTTCGTCCTAGTGTATAAGCAAAGAAAACATCATAATAGTGTTAGTTCAATGCAGAGGATTAAAATAGAGTAATTTGGTACCAGGGGACAGATGGCTATTGTCAAAGAAAAACAGAGACAGACACTACTTAAAATCAATAAGGAGACAGATTTTATTCAGTACTATTGCAGTAGGGGAGAGAACTGAGCTTCATTCCCAATGCAGCAAATACAGTTGGGGATTTATAGCCAAGGAGAAGAGTGAGGGGATCAGTGGGTGGAAAATTTGTAAGTGGAGACATCAAGGGTAGGAGTTTCTTGCTCAACTGGCCTAGCAAGATTCTGGCTAAAGGCAGGCCAACGATTTAGATATCAAGGATGATAGATGAGGAATTTTGTTACATATCAAAGGTGGGGAATGATTTAAGAGGATTCTTCACTTAGACTGGCTTAGGAAGGTCGGGGATGAAAAGAGGATAAGGCCTTGTTGAAAAGAGGAGCCTTTCCAATGTTTGGTCAGGAGAGAGTCTTTGTCACTACTTTAAAATGGTTTACCAGGCAAGATATATCTGTGGAGGTCACATTTAAACTGATACCTAAATGACAGGTAGAAGCCATTATTAAAAAACTCAGGGAGAAAGAGTTTTCCCAGGCAGAGGGAGATTCCCTGCTTAGGGGAAGAGTGTATAGACCAGTAGATGGCCTACATGTGGGAAGAGGAGAGTGACCCATCAGGGTCAGTGGATGTCTAATAATGCAGACTTTGTAAACCGAGTTAGGGAGTTTGGGTTTCATTCTAAGTGTGATGGGAAGGATTTGAAACAAGTATGTCATAATCTGATTTGCTCTGTCTGCCGTGTGTGAAATGGATTGTAGGTACATGAACACAGTCAGGGAAAATTCTGT